TTCTAAAGAAACAATAACGACAGTACATTGAATTTCAGATTCCCATTATAAGTCTATGTAAAAAATTCCATTTAAATTCTATTATTATTTTGTTAAATACAGGAGTATTTTAAGCTACATTAAAAGTAGCATGTGTAAAATACCCTTACCATGTCTTTTTTTTTACTTAAGTTAATGTTTTCATTTGCAGTGTGTAGCTTTTATAATCTCATTCTACTATATTCACATTCTGCAGTTATCATTAGAATGTGTATTACATACGTTATTCCATTTTTGCTTTTTGTGCACATTCAATTTATTCTATAAGAAATACTGGTAAAGCAATCATTTGGAATCTTTTTCACTTGCTGTGTTTACTTTTGAAAAAATATTTTATGTATATAATTAACAAAAAATCATTTGAATACAAGTAAACGAATCATTACAAGAATTTGAATTTAGATTTTATTGTCAAAGATAAGTCAAAAGTAAATTGTTACCAGAGCCTCTTCAGCAATCGGCCGTATCGACCGATGTTACCGCTTCCCGGGACGTGGACCCAGAGGTTGGATTTTGGGAAGCATGTTCGTGTTGTGAAATGGTGTTTTTTATAATGCATGTGAATGGAATCGTTGGCAATTGGATGCGACGAATGTGTCATTGTTTGAACTGTGTGTTTCAGCGTGAGGGATGTTGTTGTTTATGTGCGTGGATATGAATTACTAGAATTAAGGTGAGTACGACAAAGGGGGAAAAAAATTAAAAACCTCTGGTCTTATTCTAAATTAGTAAATGGGGTATTAGTTTACAAAATAAATACCAATTTTTTCCTCTTAATTATATTAACAATAGAGACATACATGCTAGACATGTCCAAAACACATCGAATATGTGATGGCAAACTAATTTAAAAAACGCTATAAACAAAAAATCGTAGGACTACTTACCGACTGTGCACCGCCATCGCTGAAGCTTGTTTTCGTTGTGGAACTGTACACTGCAGGGCGGACGCGCACACAGTGTGCCACGTGACCTGGCTTCAACGTCAGTCGCCCACGTGACTACAGCTCTGACACGTTTCCAGACAACTTTTTCTCGTGGCGGAAGAATTCGTTCTGTTTGCACTATACCTCGCAGGCGTCACGTGATAGAGCAAAGACACCCTACGGTGCGCACATTAATAATGGTCGCTCTGGGCTGCTGTTTGTAGACATTTGCGGACGACGGTGAAAAAAAAAGACGCTCGTAATATTGAGTATCGTGATGGCAGGATCTATAAGTTTAAAATGTGCGTTTTTAGAGAGAAAATTTAAAAGATGGGTTTCAATAGCATTCAAAGTAGCTGCGAAAAAAACTCGAGACGATACTTACACATATTGACGTGCGTTTTCACAACTTGTAAATTTTCATTCATAAAACTACATAATGGACACAAAATCAGAACTATCTGAACCATGGAGCACGCCACATTGACTTCTACCGTAAACTACTACTGCAAACAGCGCGCACTCCTGCCAGAATGTAGAAACGGTTCAGAACTCACCATTATTCCTAACACGTGGTTACCTCTTGTGGCGACCCGCGTGGACCAGTTTGACCAACTTTGTTTAGTTACGCTTCCGTAACACCGTAACATTCTATAACGAAATTCACCAGTTAAGATTTGACAACCACGATTTATTTTTCAAGATTAACTTGTTAAAAAGAGAACAGAATCAAATTACTTTAAAATTCAGATTAAATGTTTATAAATTTATTATCCAAATTTATAAAAATATATGTTTTATATAGTCTAACTAATCCTTTAAGTTTAAAAATGTAAAGTTATGTAACAATAATTTATATGTAAGATGTGGGATCGATTGGCTACTACATAAAGACTTTAAAACAATAGATGCAACACGAGTTAGAGCAGTGTTCCTTCATCCAGTTTTTGTTTTTTTTTTCATTTAATTTCACATAGATAAGATGGATCATCTCTGGTCCTCAGACCACAGTTTGAGTAGCACCGTGTCACGAAGTTCGATCGGTCTCAGGCAAAGGGCGTTATTAAGTCAGACAGCGAGCGACTTTGTTTTAATTTCTTTTATGAATCGCACAAATTTTATTTCTTTTTCAATTAAACACGGAAATACCTGTAGCTTTTAACACCAAATGGTATACAAAAATGAATGAAATCGGAAGTAACGTAGTCGACAGAAAATTGCCAACCGGGATGTATTTAAAGAATGGATAACAATCTTTCTAGATATTTGGCTGGATTCTTAATGCTTAAATGTAACGAAAACGTTCGCTTAGTAAAAGTTTGATATCTAAAAAGATTTGGTTATTCATTTTTTAGAAAC